ATAAGGAGCCAATCATCCAAACCCAAATTAGGTTAAACTTGTGAAATGCAGTAATCAGCATGACATAATTCAATTAGGCCTGTAGATTCTCCCTGTGGTTAGATATACTTCATATGCTCCATCAGCTTCAGAGGCTTCGTACATGCAATCTCATGAAAGCACTGAACAAATTTCACTTGGCTCCATGGACAAAATTGAATGGCCCATAGTTTAATAAAAACAATTAATCCTATTCCATATTTCCAGCTTCTGTAGTATTTTTTTTCTTGGTCCCATTTTGTTTATTTTGAGTCTTTCTCTTCCAGAACTCGCAGTGCCTTGATTGGATGGCCAGACCCACCTAACGTTCCCTACTCCTTCCCCTGTCGACTTCGGACAGCTATGACCTCTACGCTGTTGGACTTTAACCTCATGGACACAGGCCAGGAGGACATTGTTGTGAACCGCTGTGACCTGGAGGTGGAAGGAAAATATCAACTCATTCCATCTATTATCTGTGCCATGTGTTGCCTTTTTGGGGTCATCTACTGCTTCTTTGGTGAGTGAAGTATTGACAAATGTGTGTAAAAGTGGAGTCACATGTAGACAGAGCAGTGAAGAAGGCATTTGGTATGCTTGCCTTTATTGCTCAGTGCATTGAGTATAGGAGTTGGGATGTCATGTTGAAGTTGTACAGGACATTGGGTCGGCCACTTTTGGAATACTGTGTGCAATTCTGGTCTCTCTGCAATAGGAAGTATGTTGTGAAACTTGAAAGGGTTCAGAAAAGACTGACAAGGACGTTGCCAGGGTTGGAGGGTTTGAGCTACAGGGAGAGGCTGGGGCTATTTTCCCTGGAGTGTTGGAGGCTGAGGGGTGACCTTGTAGACGTTTATAAAATCATGAGGGGCATGGATAGGGTGAATAGACAAGGTCTTTTCCCCAGGGTGAGGGAATCCAAAACTAGAGGGCATAGGTTTAAGGAGCGAGGGGAAAGATATAAAAGGGCAATTTTTTCAGGCAGAGGGTGGTGTGTATATGGAATGAGCTGTCAGAGGAAGCGGTGGAGGCTGGTACAATTACAACAATTAAAAGGCATCTGGATGGGTATATGAATAGGAAAGGTTTAGAGGGATATGGGCCAGGTGCTGGCAAATGGGATTAGATTAATTTAGGATATCTGGTCGGCATGGACGAGTTAGACATAAGGGTCTGTTTCTGTGCTGTACAACTCTATGACTCTAAAAGTGGGGGGAGGGGATTGTGTTGGGTTGGGGGCGGGGGGTGCATCAGTCCTGCACTGTGGGTAATATCACATTTGAAAGTGGATTTGTCCAGGTATAGCTCATTTCTTATATTTCTATTGCTATCTAAAGTATATTGCTGGGTCTGTTCTACCTCCTGAGGCTGCAGTCACTGGCCAGGCAACAACTCTCGGGTATCTGAAAGCTAAAAAGGTGGAGGGTGTGGGTATTGGATGAGGAACAAGAGAGCCGTGGTCACACCATCTGCAGCTTGCACTTCATGCCGTGTGGTCCTATAACGGTGAGGTGGGATTTGAGATGGGAAGTAATCCATTTCTGTGGAAACATTGAATCTTTCCTCCTTCCTCCCTTCTTAACAAATCCCTACAGTGCCGCATCTGGGAGCCCTCTCTCTTACCTGTCACTCCATTTTCTGTGCTTGTGCTTCTTCTCTTCAAGTCTTCCACGGTCTGTAGCAATGTATGCATGATGAGTGGAGCTCCCCTTTAAGAGGGGTAGACTCCCTTTCAGAGATGTAGTTCAGTTGTCATTCATGTGGCTGGAGCTCCCCTTCAGCATACAGTCAGCAGAATATTTTGCAATGGGCTGCACACTGACATAATTTAGATGAGGTGGAATACAAAATTTACAGTCTGTCTTCCTCAATGGAACCATGCATGAACACATCTGAAAGCATGCTTTGATGAATTTTCCTCTTCCCTCTCTCACTGCCCCAGCCCAAGGTCATTTTTAATTGCACTCATTTTGCCCATTGTTATTATTTGACATACCAATTCTGTGAGATTTTGTCTAACCTTACTGGCCCAAGTTGCTTGTTTTTAAGAATGAGCTGTTTCCTCCAGCTGTTGCCAGAGTTGACTGATTAAGGGAGTTCGGAAGGGAAGGGAAAGGAAAGAGGTGCTCCATTGCTTTTGCTTTGTCTAATTTTTTTCAGCCTCTAGGACTTGATTCTTATTCTGCTACAGAAGAAGCTAGTTAGGTGGCACAGTGGCTCAGTAGTTAGCACTGCTGTCCCACAGCACCAGGGATCTGGGTTTGATCCCACCCTCAGGTGACTGTCTGTGTGGAGTTTGCATGTTCTCCCCGTGTCTGCATGGGTTTCCTCCGGGTGCTCCGGTTTCCGCCCACAGCCCAAAAATATGCAGGCTATGGTGGATTGGCCATGGGAAATGCGGAGTCACAGGGATAGGGTGCAAGTCTGGGTCTGGGTGGGATGCTGTTTGGACGGTTGGTGCAGACTTGATGGACCAAATGGCCTCTTTCTGCACTGTACAGATTCTATTTGGTGAGTATCTGGTAAGTAACTAAGATTTATAAGGTTCAACATAGAATAGCAGCTAGTGCGAATGTCGGATAAAGAAGGAGGTTCTATATAGTCAGTATAAGGAGCTGGGCACCCATTGTAATGTCTAGATTATTACCTAAGCAACATGAAGATTGTCATTGGTAAATAAGATTGGAGAGATGAATGCATGGTTCAGAGACTGGTTTGGGAGAAGAGGGTTCCAGGTCCTGGGCACGAGAACCAATACTGGGGAAAGTGGCAGGGTTCTCCACCAGAGCCATACAGGGACTGGCACTTTTGTGAGCTGCAAAACTAGAGAAGTAGAGAGGATTTAAATAGTGAGGGTGAGAGATCAATGTTGGGAAGATGTAAATGAAAGAGAAGAGATAAGGCAAAGTATTAATATGGGAAATGATAAACACACCGTGACAGGAAGGGATAGAGTGTACAAGTCTAACAGATAAAAAGTTACAAAAATAATAAAAGTACAAAACTAAAATCTCTATCTGAATGCACGTGACTTTCAAAACAAAACTGATGAATTAAGAACACAAATATAAACAAATAAGTACAATCTGGTAGCCGTAACGGAGACATATTTGTAGGATCACATGGATTCAGACCTGAATATTGGAGGGTACGTGTCATTTAGGAAGGACAGGAAGCTGGAAAATTTTCTTAAATTCTTTGTTTAGAGTGCTGTCTGAACTCTACACTCAGTTCTATCTCTCCATATCATTGGCATCCCTTGGTTTCAGTATGTCAACCTCATTTGCTCTATAAAGGCTCTTAGTATAACTGGTGATCACAATGAAAGGTTTGTTTGATTATATTCCACTCATTTCTACTTCAAAAAAAAATGTTTGAAGTTTTATCTGGTCATTATAACTTGCCTTTTGATTTTGTTTGAAGCACCATGGAGCTAAAAAGGAATGTAATAGGTATTGCAGATTTTTTTTCTCCTTCTTTTATTTAATTCAGTTCCTTGCTTTCTGCTTACCTGTACTCTGAATCTTTGTTGAGTTAATCAGCTTCACCTTATAATACTTCTCATCTTGAGCACAAAACCTGGGCTGACACTAAACTCTCACTGCTTACAGCGAGTGCATTTGTGTGAATTTGATTGATGGTATAACACATTCACAATCTGCGTGTTGTATTCGTGACTGAGTACCAGCAATCCCAGGGCTTACTGCTGATACACATGCAGCAACAGTATCAAAATGTTAAATGCTGGGCACTGGCAGCAACAATAGAGAAACACCAAACACTGGGCACTGATAGCAGTTATAAAAATGTGAGACTCTGGTCACTGGCAGTTGACTATAAAAATACTAAATCTCTGGACATTGATGGGAAACCATAAGACTACTGAAACTAGTGCTGGCATCATCTAAAACCAGATTACCTGATCATTTTTACATTGCTATTTATGAGATGTTGGCTGTCAGGTTCCTGACATTATAATAGTGACAACATTTCAAATGTACTTTGTTTGGCTGTATAGAGCTTTTGGATGTTCTAATGTCATGAAAAACACTATGTAAATACATTTATTATTAATTCTGAAGCGTCGCTGGACCCGAAACATTAACTCTGCTTTCTCTCCACAGGTACGAACAGATCTCCTGAGTTTTTTCCATCAATTTCTTTTTTTTGTTTCTTTATTGTCAGTGCCCTTACCGTGCTATAGTGGAGAAGGGTAACATCACTATAGCCCAGGGATGCTCAAGAGGCCAGAATCAGTGTAGATCTCTTCACACAGAAATGGGCTTCAATTGTGGTAATTTGGTTGTTCACATTTACAAGTGCTTGAGGGTTTACCATCAGGTTTACTTATTTTGTTCCTCTAAATTAGGACAACTACAGACTTCCTCAATAAGCACGTGCACATCTGAAAGGGCATTTTCTGTTCCACTATTTTTATGCAATTTTCAGTCGAGAAATTAATTATATAACAAATCATTTGATAGCCTCCATTTTGAAAATTATGGCTTTACAAAATAGCCATCGAGTTAAACCTCTTGCAGGAACTTTGATGCTCTAATTTATTAACTGGTCAAGTCTGTGATGGATTAAACGTTCTGATTACTCAATGAAACTGAGAAGGCAGCATGAGAATGAGCCGGAGTAAGCCAACTTAATTGGATCCTTCCCATCCAAATAGAGGGAGTTCATACAATCTTCTCAGATTCCTGATTAAGTTTAATGCTGCACAGCCCTGTTTGTTAAGTGTCTGATGTGTACAGATCTGGATCGAATCTGTTGGGATTAGTAACAGGTGCTATTGCTGCCAGTTAGTACAAATGCAATTGAGAAAAGAAAAAGAATGAGCAACCTAAACCCAGATAATTTTCAACCACTTCAACATACACAGCTGCAGAGCAATCTGATGTACCAGCATTATCTACAAACAAAAATGTTGGACATATTTACTTTTTTCCCTTTTGGAGAAAAAGCTGGCAGCTGCATCCTGCGCTTGGCTTTTTACATGATTTCTCCATGTGTCTCAGTCTTATTGTACCGAGTTGTTTACTGTACATTCCAGACTGCTGAGATGTTAGGTCAGTGATTATTTTAGGTGTGCCAGTGATGCAAAAATACACAAGCGAGTGTGGTGACTGGAGAATTTCATGGCATGCAGTCAGTGTGAGACACTGTCAGGTTTTAACTGAGGAAACTAGCTGAAAGGTTGGCGGCTTACATTATGATATCACCATGGTTGAACAATGCAGATGTGAAGCTGAAGTAAATCAAGTCATAGATCAAAGCCAAGTGTGGCTTTTTAATGTTGCTGCCCGAGTTCTTTGGTGAGGCCTTTTACTAAAAACAAACACTCTGGCCCTGCAGTCAACAAGCACGCCATAGCTCTTGACCCCTTATCATGATCCTGCTTCAAATATCCTGCCCCACTACCAATTAATATGGAAATGTGTGACCATTTTTAAAGAAAAGATAAAATAATTGCCAAATTACTGAATTATAGGTTTTGCTTGTCTCGTGTGATTTCCCCTACTGCCTCTTTATGTGCTGCTATCTTGTGGTCCACCTGCTCAGTTACCTTCAGCAAGTGCACAGTGGTACCCTCTGCCAACAGGCTTTGTTACCAAAGCGAATTTGTAACAGTGCACCTTATTCTTAAAGGTGAATGCTGTGATTATGAAGTTAAAGATTGCTTTGGAAATACATGGTCAATAAAATATTATTCATTTTCTTAAAACACATCTCAGTAGGTTAGACAGTAGGTCAGGTGAAGTGTTGAAAAAGTGGCTTCTATTTTTGTCTTTGAATGTGTTGCTGCATCCAAAATCTGTTCCCACCTTTCCCAGAACTCCATGTTTGAACCCATCCAACCAGACCTCTGTCCCTGTCACAGTACTGAAGCGGCTACTGCAACAGACCCCATTGACACAGGAACAGGACTAGGCCAGTCAGCCCCTTGAATCTGCTCCACCATTCCATGAGAATATGGCTGATCTGTGGCCTAACTCCATATACCTGATTCTGGCCCATATCCCTTAATACCTTTGTTTAACAAACATTTACCTATCTCAGATTTAAACATTCACAACTGATCCAGCATCCACTGCTGTTTGTGGAAGAGAGTTCCAAACCTCTACCACCCTCTGTGTATAGAAATGCTTCCTAACATCTCTCCTGAATGGTCTGACCCTAATTCTCAGACTATGCCCCCTAGTTCTAGAATCCCCAAACAGTGGAAATAGTTTATCTTTGTCTACTTGTCTTTTCCTGTTAATATTTTGAAGACGTCAATCAGCTCACCCCCTTAACCTTCTAAGTTCTAGAGAAAATAGCCCTACTGTGCATTATCTCTCCTTATAACTTAACCCTTGAAGTCCAGATATCATTCTTGTAAACCTATGTTGTACTCCCTCCAAAACAGTATCTTTCCTGAGGTATGGTGCCCTGATCTGCTTTCAGTAGTCCATGTGGGGTCTCTTTGGACATCCACCGTATTTAACTTCATACTATCGAGAAAGTACCCTGATCTATCCTTTGTCAGTGCATATCGTGTGTGACTGGGACAAAGGTAAACTTTCCCTCCTCGATCTACCTGAAGCCTTTGTCGTGGTGACCATAATATCCTCCTCCAACACCTCTTCACTGTTGTCCAGCTGATGGTGGGGACTGCTTTCTCCTGGTTCCATTCTTATCTCTCTCGTCTTAGCCAAAGAATCACCCACAATGACTCCTCTCCCACTCCTGATCCTGCTCCCGTTCCCTCTCTGGTGTTCCCCCATCAATCTCTCCTGGTGGCCGTCCTATTTCTCATCTACACCCTGCCCCTCAGTGACAACATCCAAAGGCACTGTGTTAGGTTACACTAGGATGCTGGCTTACACCCAGCTCCACCTCACCACCAGCGCGCGCTCTCTCTCTCTCGAGCCCTCCACTGGTACTGAATTATTAGACTGCTTATCTGACATCCCGGATTGGATGAGGACAAATTTCCTCCGATTAAATATTGAGAAGACTGAAGCCATTGTTTTTAATCTCCTACTTCAGACTCTATTCCCTAGCTACTAACTCTGCCCATCTCCCAGGCAATAGTCTGAGATTAAACCATTCTGTTTGTAATCTCAGTGTCATATTTGATATGAGGATGAACTTCCAATCTCCTATTTGTGCCATCACTAAGACCACCCACTTCCACCTCTGTAACATTGGCCAACTTCACCCAACTCAGCTCATCTGCTGCTGAAACCTTCATCCAGGACGGTGTTACCTCTCGACATGACTGTTCTAATGTTATCCTGGCTGGTCTTCCACATTCTATCCTCTGTAACTCTGAGGTCATCCAGAACTCTTAACTCACAGCAAGTCCTTTTCCCTTATCGCCCTTGTGCTTGCTGACCTACATTGTCTCCCAGTCAAGCAACATTTTGATTTGAATATTCTCATCCTTGTTTTCAAATCCTACCATTGTCTCAACCCTTCTTATCACTGTCATCTCCTACAACCCTTTGAGATATCTACGGTCATTTAATTCTGGCCCCTTGAATGTTCCCAGTCATATTAGGGGACTTGACAGGATGGATGTGGAGAGGTTGTTTCTCCTTGTGGGAGAGTCTAGGATCAGAGGGCATCATCTCAGAATAAGGGTTGCACATTTAAGACAGAGATGGGGAAGAATGTTTTCTGAGGGTAGTGAGTCTGAGGAATTCTTTACCACAGAAGGCTTTCAAGGCTGGATCATTCAGTATATTCAAGGACAGATTTTTAATCAGTAAGAGAATCAAGGATCATGGGGGAAAGGCAGGAAATTCTCATAACTGTGACAAGTTTCTGATCACCTCTCCCAATTCCGTTTTCCTGTCTGATTTTCATACACTTAGGTGTAAAGTGCATCCGGTTAGTCTGTGTGTTTGAGGCCTTATGTAAGTGCAAGTTGTTACAGATTAATTTGTCTTAAATCTCGAAAGATTCTTAACTGTCAAAGGAACCTTGTTACATTTCTGACAGATCCCAGAATACTGACAAATTCTGTAGCTTTGCAGGCCAGAGATGAGTGGTTGCCCCAAACTTAACCACACTTGGTCAATCTGAAAGAAAACAAAAAAGCTATTGGAAGTCTTCAGCAGGTCAGTCATCGTTTATGGGGAAAGAAACAAGAGTGAATGGTTCAGTTCGGTGGCTGTCCTCAGAACTGCTGTTGGACAAAGTGACAGCTTTAAGAGACCAGCTTACCAACTTTTGTTTGTCATTTATATAAATGATTTGGATGAAAATTTAGGAGGCATGTTAGTAAGTCTGTGAATGACAGCAAGATTGGCAGTATAGTGGACAGTGAAGAAGGCTATCTAAGATTACAGTGAGAGCTTGATCAATTGGGTCAATGGGCTGAAGAGTGGCAGATGGAGTTTAATTTGGATAAATGAGGTATTGCATTTTGGTAAGGCAAACAAGAACAGGACTTATACAATGAATGGTACTGCCCTGGGTGGTGTTGCAGAGCAGAGGGATTTAGGGGTTCGGGTACATAATTCATTGAAATTTGCGTCACAGATAGACAGGATGGTGAAGAAGGCGTTACCTTTGAGTACAGGAGTTGGGATGTCATGTTGAGGTTGTACATGACATTGGTGAGGCTTCTTCTGGAGTACTGTGTCCAGTTCTGGTTGTCCTGCTTTAGGGAGGATATTGTTAAACTGGAGAGGGTTCAGAAAAGATTTAACTAGGATGTTGTCAGGAATGGAAGGTTTGAGTCATAAAAATAGGCTGGATAGCCTGGGACTATTTTCACTGGAGCGTAGGTGAGGTGTGATCTTATAGAGGTTTATAAAATCATGAGGGGCATAAATAAGTTTAATAGCAAGGATCTTTACCCTAGGGTGGGGGAGTTCAAAACTAGGGGGCATATTTTTAACGTTAAAGGAGAAAGTTTTAAAAAGGACATAGGGACAATTTTTTTTTACACAGAGTGATTCGTGTGTGGAATGAACTGCCAGAGGAAGTGGTGGATGTGGGTACAGTTACAACATTTAAAAGACATTTGGATAAGTATGTGAATCGGAAAGGTTTGGAGGATTATGGGCCAAATGCAGGCAGGTGGGACTAATTTCATTTGGGAAACAGGTCGGCGTTGACTGGTTGGACTGAAGGGTCTGTTTCCATGCTGTATGACTGTATAATTTAATGTGCCTCAGGGTAGTGATAAAATAATGAACAAAATCTCCATCATTGTGTGGAGCTTAAAGAGTTGGTCTTAGCAGCAATTTCCCTACTTCACAATGTTGTTTAGGAATAAGGATTCCTGTTGTCTGTTTGTTACAAACGGTGGTGTGAAGCCATAATTTAATATCAGGTTGCCTGACTGTTATTGTTTTTGTGTGGTAAAAGTTATTAATGTTACTTTTTCAAACTTTGTTGCAGGCTATCGCTGTTTCAAGGCCGTCATGTTCCTCTGTGGACTGATGTTTGGCTCCATCATCATTTTCCTGCTGTGTTATAAGGAGCGGGTTCTGGACATTCAGCTGAGCGTGGAGGCCAGCGCTGGTATTGGTCTAGGCATCGGGATCCTGTGTGGACTGGTCACCATGCTTGTCCGTAGTGTTGGCCTCTTCATGATTGGCCTAGTCCTTGGCCTGTTGGTAGCAACTGTCACCCTCATTGTGATGGAGCAGTTCTACCACCCGCACACCATTTGGGTTCCAGTGGGGCTTCTTATTGGCGTTGGGATGCTGTTTGCCGTCTTAACTTTACAGTGGCAAAAGCTCTTCACCATTATCTCCACTGCAGTTTTTGGTGGCGCCATCATTACACTGACTGTGGACTATTTCATCGAGCTGTTTATGTTGGCACGGTATATCTATGAGAGGCTGAAGATTGCTCCTTCACTGCCCATTTGTTGGTACAGTTGGGTGATTCTTGCCATCTGGCCAGTGCTGAGCATATTGGGGATTCTGGTCCAATGGAAGCTTACAGCTGAAGGCTATTCACACACTGAAGGTAAGGCCAGCTCAAAACTGGTAATAAAGGTGTTTCTACTTCTGTACCCTCTAATCAAATAGACTGCCATGAGGATACTGTTGGAGGGATACTGGGAACTCTCTGGTCCTTCATCAGCTTGACAACCTTCACGAATAAACCCCAGCAATGAGTGTCAATGGATGACTTGTCCAACAGGGCCTGAACTTGCTGTCATCCAGTGCGTGCATGCATAGGGCAGAGGTCACTGGGCAGTGATCAGGGGCAGAAACCTTAATGATTATCTCACTTATCACTCCCCACCACCACATGTCCCTTCCTGTGATCAGGGTGGGATGGTCTGAGACCAATTCTAGCACTGATTCCAAATCTAGTTCGGCTAGCACTCCCCCACTTAATTCAAGCTAGACCACGGATCAAACATGGTACATTGCTAGTTTTTGTGGTATGGAATATACTGGATGATGGTTTTAGCAACTGAGGCATTTGAAAGATACGATTCTCACATTGTTCAATCAGTGCTTCAGTGTAGACCTATTGCAGTATTCAAAGGACTCATTAAGTTGTCCTTTTCAGTTGTGTTGCATTGATGCTGATCACGAGTAATCTAGCTGGGAAGTCCCTTTGGGGCCAAGTAGACAGAGCTGACTGGTTTTGCTCTGGGTTCATTTGTTCTACTGTTTGCTTGACAAGCAGTTTCTTGCCAAAGAACATTGGTGGGTCCAACCTTCTTTTGGCCATGCTTGTTGACTATTGACTCCACTGGGAGAAGAAAATGAGAATGACAGAAGTATGACTTGGCTCAGTTGTCCTATTGTTGAGTAAAGATAGAGACATCTTGTGGAAGGTGGGTCAAGAAAAGGAGAGTGAATTAGAGCTATTAAAACAAATTCTATTGCCACTAATGCTTTCTTCTTCCTGTAGTCATTATCAGTAAACGACAAAAACGAGTGCAGTTGATGAGAATACGACAGCAAGAAGCAAAGAAACGACAGAGGGCATCTCAGGCAGAGGGCACATATCGCAGGAAGCCATACCCAGTCAAACGGTACACGGGAGACATCCTTTCACCGGTAACGTATCAGAAGTCAAACTCTAGTCCTTGGGATATTGGAATGATAAGAGTGAGCAGAAAACCTCTAATCTTAGCATTTTTATTCTTCTCCTCCATGTTAAGCTACGTGGTTATGTAGAACTACACAGGATGCCTGGCACCAAAAACAGGCTATTCAGCCCTAAAGATCGATTTATGGTCCACATGATCTTCTTCACACTCTTCCTCATTGAACGCATCAGCATAACCTTCTTCCCTAATAGCCTTATCTTCCACTCAAAGGCATGTATGTGATTTACCTCAAATTCTCCATCCAAATAAATAGAACTAATTTTAACACAGGAATTGAGTCATATTCCATTCCACTCCATGCATGCTCTGCCTGAAGCTATCCTGGGCTCACTAACTACTGATGCTTCATCCTAAGTTGATTTCATGGCAGTTTCTGTCAGTGCTGGTTTGCCATTGCCTTCCACTCTCAGGGGCAGGCTGAGGAGGCAGATTCCAAATCTACCTAGACTAGAACAGGAATCAATCCCATGCTGTTGGTAGTATTACGAACCATACACTCTCCATTTAGCCAACTTTGCTACAAGCCCCCTTTTTAAGTCAGATAGTGAATCCAAAAATCACCAGTCCTACGATTAAAGGTAGATGTTTGTTTTCGTGTGAGCAAATTACAGAAAAGGAATCTGACAGTGATGCAATATAACGCCAGGATGTCTGCTCCACATCCAGCTAATGTTGTTCCTCTGTCCTCCTGAAAGTGAATCCTTGTAAGGTGTGAGTCCATGAATGCCAACTATCCATGTGCCATTCTTCAGGTGCAAGCCAAGGCAATGAGGCTGGGATTTTCTGCTTCGTTTATTCCCAGTGAAGTGCCAGTGGAATAAAGGTTCTGCCATTCTGTTCCCAACTGACTCTCTATTGATATTCCTACCTAATTGGGCAGCCAGCTTGGAGGAGCAGGAAAATTATTTAACTGGAGAAAGACTGCAGAAATCTATGGAGCAGAGGAAGTTGGGAGTCCTCAACCATGAATCACAAAAAGCTAGTCTTCAAGTTCAGTGGGTCACAGGGAATGCAAATAGAATGTTGTCCTTTACTTAAAAGGAAATGGGGTATAAAAGCAGGAAGTTTTGCTAAAACAATACAAGGCATTAGTCAGACCACACCTAGAACACTGTGAACAGATTTGGGCCACTTATCCAAGAAAAGACACACTGACATTGGAGGCAGAGCAGAGAAGGTTCACTAGGCTGATACCAGGTAGGGAGGGACTGTCTAATGAGGAAAGGTTGAGTAGGTTGGGTCTGTCCTCATTGGAATTTAGAAGAATGAGAGGTAACCTTATTAAAACATTCAAGATTCTTAGCAGACTAAGGCTAGATGTGCAAAGATTGTTTCCCCTTGGGGGAAGAGTCTGAGACCAGAGGGCATAATCTCAGAATAAGTGGTTGCACATTTAAGAAGAGATGAGTAGGAATTTCTTCTCTCAGAGGATAGTGAATCTGTAGAATTCTTTAGTGCAGAGGGCTGTCAAGACTGAGATAGATTTTTAATCGGTAAGTGAATCAAGGGTTATGGGAAAAAGGAGGAAAGTGGAGTTGAGGATGGTCAGATCAGCCATGATCTCATTGAATGGCAGAACAGACTCGATGGGCTGAATAGCCTACTTCTGCTCCTCTGTCTTATGGTCTTTATGGAGTGTATAGGGGAATTGGGTGTGGGGGTGTGGTTCAGAATGTTGGCTGCAAGTTTTGCTTTCTGATGGGAGTGTGTGTCAGACATGAAAGCCTCAGAGGCACCAGTGGAAATTCTTCAGATTTCTTCTGCAAAGTGGTCACTGCCCCAATCTCCACATTAGGAAGAACCAGAGCCCGTATGAGGGAGAAACAAATTTTGCATGGATCTGGAATGCATTGTATGAAAGCAGATTCAATCCTTGTTTTAAATACAGAATTTGATAAATACCTGAGGTGTAAAAATTGCAAAGAAAGATCAAGGGAACGGGATTAATTGGCTAGCTCCTTCAAAGAACCAGCAGGGACATGATGGGTGGAATGGCCTTCTTCTGTCCTATACCTTTTTATAATAATTGATTTTTCTCCTTGTTTCTTTAGAGCTACATCCAGAGTATTCGAGATCGGCAGACAGCAACATCCATGAGCAGTCTGAACACAAACATTCACACCATCGTGGATCTGGATTATGACTGTGGTTCCACTGTCCCGCTCACAGCCACAACCCCTGTAGTCACAGCATGAGCTAGTCACCATCGCCCAGCGAGTACTGGTCAAGGTTATTAGTGAACAACCAGTTTATTTAGCTCCCAGCAGGTGACAAGTAGATAACATGTTGACACTCTAGCCAGAATTCTCCATACACCATGGTCTGTTTGTGTGTGTCTCTCTCTCTAGGAATCACAGTTCCTGCAAGTGTGAAGAAATCTCTTGAGTCTGCTCATTTGTTACCTGCTTGAGTATGTTTTCAGCAGTCTGGCTGAAAGAACCTACTGGCCAGAAGAAATGATGCCTCTGCTCAACAGGCACCTCACCCTCTGCTAAAGAAAGTGTGCTTGGCATGGGAGTGGCACTTCGCCAGTCAAAGAAATGTATACCTTTGTGACCGAGCAGAGAAAGCTATGTGCCCCATGTACCCAAAGAATAATCAGGACAAGTATGCAGCTCATTTGTGACCTTGGATTCAGGCTGTATGTTTTCTAATTTGCTTATCACCCACTCTGAACAGGTTGTTATCTTTGGGCCACCGGTGTGGCTGCCAAAATTCACACTGAACTTCTTTTTAAGAAACCATTTAACATGTAACCTATTCAACTACTTGTTTTTAAAGCCCAAATAATTTAATGCCC